AGCAACTCTATGTAGGAGAGATATAGACTATACAATATTTATATATGTTGCACCTGTAAATACAAAAAAAGGCAGGGTAAGGTGTTTTTTCAGTTAACCTTTAACACAGTCGGGTTTATTTAATTACTGTTTTAAACTATTAAGCTTATGCAATACGTATTATTATAAAAAGTCTAATGATTTTTTTAAAAATATTGTAAGCACACACACCGACAGACTAAGAAAAGATAACAAACGTCGCATCCTATCTCCGCAGACCGCGAAACGTTTTAATAGAACCACCTCAACCGCTCGATCCAGTCGACCCAAACGTCGCAGGCACATCACACAACGACACTACATCCACACTAAATGGGACAAACATTATTAGGACAACGAATGGGACGCGTCGCACCCGCAGACGGGCACGACGCGTACCAGCTCACACCGCGTACGCACCGTACACCCGCGTTCCTGGACGGTTCTCACCGCCCAGACCATCGACCGATACGAGCTGAGCAGTCAGAGACGGGGGTCCGCACTCCCCCCTCGGACTGCGGTTAGATAGCTCAAAGAAAAACGCCTAAAAGGCGACATGATGATTGGTAACAATATCAAATCATAAACCATCTCATCATCATCCTCACCGCATTGCCTTTCCCTTTTTTTAATTAGCTCGCGGCCTGCAAGCCCTGAGACAAGATGGAGCTGTAAGAGTCGCATAGACTAACAGCACTAACATCTATATATATGATTATTATATATATAATGATTGAGAGACACAACATGTCCGGTGAGACTGAAGTATTTAGTAAAAAAGTTCACGAGATTCCAATGAACATTCGGAGTGGTTTCAGCAAGCTACGACAAGACAAAAAAAATACCGGTTTGGGGGGGGGGGATTGTAGTATCGTTATTGAACACGTGTTAGGGTGACCACGTGTTCCATATTTAAAGAGCTGTCCCGTTTCTTACCCATGAATTTTGTCACATGTTTTTACTTTTTATCATTTAATTGGGAGGTGGTACCTATGCCGCACGTTACCTCACTATCTAAACTTGATCAAATGGTGAGCGAGTATTATACTCGTATGTTGAATTTTAATTTAAAAAAAATGTACAAGTAAATTTAATATTGCTGCCCCCGAAAATAAAAAAATCTGGTATGTAACTAATAATGAATAAATAGTAAATAATTACAGCTAGGGCCCATAAATAGTCAGTTGTTCTTATATTTCTTATATTATCGAACTAGGCATCTCAGACGATTGCTTATTTGCAATATATATTATATATTCTTATATTATGCAGATTAGCACGTTCTTCTCGGAATACTTTAGTCTTCTTATTCTTATTGTAATTTATTCAACAAGGTTTCAAACGTGTTAAGCCGATACTATTCATTTATATTTATCTGTGTTCATATTATAGTGCCGTAAGGCTGCCTGATGCCAGACTGATGCCAGAGTCTGAAAATCACCCATCATCAGATTCAACCAATCATAATTCACCCATCATCATATTTATATTTTAGCCCTAAAGAACTTCAAAAACGTTCTTCTTTCGTTTTGCTCTTTGCTAGTCCAGCTGCTCGGATGGATCGCTATATTAAAGTAAAATAAAGTAACAGCCTACATACGTCTCACTCCTGGGCAGCCAGCCCTCCTTTCCTTTAAGACGGTTTAAGGTAAGGAAGGGTTCACCACGTTGCCCTAGTCCTATACTTGGTATAGCCATGCTGCAGTTATATTAGTAGTATAGTTGTAGCGCGAAAGGGTCGGCTCGACCGGGGAAGGACCACGCTCTCACGGAATACCAGCGTAAAATAGTAGCTTAGTGTTGTTGTGTTTCGTATGGTGAGTGTAGAGAACCGGAGACGCTTTTTACTGGAAACGAGGCATTCCATCTCAGTCCTCAGTATAGTGACAACGCATCTGCGTTTTGATTCTTGATCGAAGATAAATGTAGATATCTATGCGCCACAGCATCCATTTACCAGCTTATTTGTCACCCTTATTCTATAAAAAAAACATATCGTCGAAAGATTTTTTAATATCGTAGAAATGCAGGTTTTTGTTTTTCCTGTACCGACCAACACGTGGTCGCTCGCTATATATAGAAAGAGTATATTATAATCACTATGTTTTATAAAAGTCACTAACTAGGTCTAGAGGTAGAGTATTCCTTCCGATCTCTTCATCCGATATGCTCACGATTGCAAACTATATATTTTTCATAATGATTTACAATATACTAGTTAAATAAAATCCACATTGTTTTATTAACCTTTCAGATTACATTTTAACCGACTTTAATAAGAAGGAGGTACTCAATTCGACTATATTTTTTTGTGCTTTTTGTATGATCCATTTAATCAAGATCTGACCAGTAGTTTTTGAGTTATCCTTAATAATGCGTATTTAATTGACATCAAATATATTATGTTCTCATTTTATTTATATTGAAATCGGTTGTACGAAATTTTTAATTTTACTGCTTGTATATCCTCAAGTCTCCACAATAATATCACAGTTTTAAGTTCGACTCTCTTTTAACTGTGATAATACTGTATTCTGGTATTAGCCAATTTGCAGTATGCTCTCCTACCGATAAACTTTGATTATTATAAGACAACAGTTTATTACACAATGTACAGTTTACTTTAATTAATTACTAACTATATTTTTTTTTTTTTTGAACACCCCATAGGAACAATTTATAATTTTTACCTGACTTTCCTAGAAGTAGGGTAATGTTTTTCGATATATACATATATTTATGTATGTGTGTATGTATGTATATTAATTAGTTCGTTTGTATTTCCTTGGCACGCTCTGTAGCTTATGCGGCTTGATGTGTTTTAACATAATATGGATGTTGTTATATTTGTCACAGTGGTGGCAGTGACAGAGTAATTTTAAAATTCTTCTCTTTTCTGTTAACATTTTTCAAACAGTAAACGAGTTTTTCTAATTAGTGTTTTAACCATTGGGCTCATTTGGTTTTGATTGATTTTGTGCACGGATTTCTAGTTGTCCTAAATAAATAAATACGCTATTTGTTGGTGCTTGAATACATTACGCGCATGTAGAAAAACGCATTTTTTTTTATTTATTGCACGTTTGGTGTTTTTGTGGACTGTAAGACTGACATTGTCATGCACTAGACATGTGTCATTCGTTAATTCCTAGTGAACCGATCATTTAAGTATTGTTTCGTAATAGGATCGGGGTCATTTGGATCGATCATTCAAATGGGTCATTTCGAGTTTCTGTATTCTGTAGTCTGTGATACCCACTCGATAATGTCAGTCATCGGACATTACTATACTCTGTTCGTAGGTCAATAGTTTGATTCGGAACGTTCAAAAATGTAATTGCAATCATTAACTCTGATGCGACACGGGTCAAATGAACGATTCATTCACGATTGACACGTGGTCTACACGCAACTGATTGCTTCTCAAATTAATCGTTTTATCATTTAGTTTAACAGTGTCAAGTTCGACATGAAGATATGTTGAGATACTATTAAACTAAATGAGGTTATTTAACGCTTAAAAGTTACAAACAAATAGCTTCAAAGTTGAAATATATTCAAGGAATGACCTTGTTATTATCGCAGCGAACTCAGATTATGGAATATAAGAGCAAATAACAACACTCGTTCACAACAGCAATAAAATATAATGAATCACCAGCACTGATTATTATTTACATACTAATATTAACTACATGAAGTGATCACGCGTATTTCATGATTAGAAAAAAATTATATTAAAATTTAAAAAAAAAACGAAACAAAAGCAAATCTCTAAAAAGAAATAAATCACTTATTTGTTCTTTCTTTCACTTAACACATTCATATACTCGTACTGATTCGCTACAAACGATACTAAACTGTATACCAGAATATCATTCAGCGAAACTAGCTTAGAATTCAAATAGTTTTAGGGGTATGACCTACTAACGGTTCTAAAGCTCAACCAAAAATGGCGTCTTTTAATATGCCATAAATCATTATTTCACGTGTAGTGTGGCAGGTTATTTCATAAATACGGTTTCATAAATATATATCGGTAATTTATAATTGATGATAATGAAAATCAGGGTGGGAGGCTGGAAGTTGTCAAGCATTCGTGACAAACGAATACACAGTTCACCTGAAGGTAAGTGGATGCTGTGGCCCACAGACATCTACATTCGATTAAGAAACAAAATGCAGATGCGTTGTCACCCCTGAGGACTCCGATGGAATGCCTCGATTCCAGTAAAAAGGGTCTCCGGTTCTCTACACACACCATACGAAACACAGCAGCATTACGCTGCTTTTTTACGCTGGTATTCTGTGAGAGCGTGGTCCTTCCCTGGTCGAGCCGACCAATGCATGATACAACAGTAATATAGCTGCAGCGTGGCTCTACCACGTAAAAAAACACGCGATGTGACACATTTTCTTAATGTAATGAGCATATGACACCTTAAATCTTAGTCCTCGAAGTTAGTAACGTATCTGTTCAGTGAATATTTTTTTTGTACATTTCAACCCATTAAAAGTTCACTCTTGGCATAGATAATGTCATAGGCATCTGCAGCTTTTATTAAGTTGTTATCACGAAGATAATACTGCCCATCTCCTGTTTCAGATTCCCTGTATCGCCTCTTACGTCACCCACAGGATGTTTTATCGGATTTGAATAGTCATTGTTTGTTAAATATTATGTTTTGATTATTTATCGAGGCTAAATATATAATGTAGAATATAATAGTAAATTTATATTTGTAGCCACAATATACATTTACTATTATTATTAATGCGCCGATGGTCCATTTGCGCATTAAGCCGGGTTTTTACTCATCCTTACTTTTATTTAAAAATTAAGCTCATATATCAGAGTTAACCGCCATGATGAGTGTTCGTCAGACAGGAAACGATTATATAGGCCATGTGTCTGTGGAATAGAAAACGACATGATAAAATGGTTATGTAGTTCATGATTGGTTATTTGTTTCAGACTCAAGATGTGGGTTTTCGAAAACTGCTGTTTCTGCATAGATTTAAAGACGGGATGTTTTATAATCGCTTATTTGCAATTGGTAAGTTTAAGATGTGAGCGGTGTCGTCGATGGACACGTGGACACGACACGATAAGATAATAAACGTTTGGGTAGCGTTATAAGTCTCACCGCCGATTTGGTTACATTATTGGAGTAACTATAGGGTATGTTCCGAAACGTTTTCGGTATACTGCCGAATACAAATAACGTCATCAATTGACACTATATTGTACTGGCGTGCCGCCGCCATATTGTGTCGGATATCCGGCCATAATAAAACAATTTTTAATTGAGTGTGTGCTTACTGAAACATGCCAGAATTTATTTTTATTTATTCAAATACAAAAATTATAGAATAATTGCTGATATCTCCATTAGGAGGATATAATGACTTTTGGAGCACAAAATGACAAAATAATCGCCAACACTTTTCCAATATGGAGCAAATGTATGACATCATATATTGTTCTATGTTTTGGGACGAATCACATATTCATGACGTCATTTGCATTGGACTGTAACACTGAGTTCTATTTTGGAACATACCCATAGAGTGCAACAAATATTCGAGATACCTACCACTTGACAGTTGTCAAATTTTTATTGGACTAGGCTTAAAGTCAGGTTCAATCAAAGAGTAACACGGGGAGGAGAGGTGTAGCCACACGCAGGCGTTCCCCTCTGCAAGATACGAGTCCACGCGGTCCTGTGCTTACAATGAACTAGTTGCAGTCGCACTGTTCACTAGATTAAATCTAGTTGGGCGGCTCATTTTATAACTATTTACTTTTTAAAACTTACATATTGCAATAATAACGGTCGTTTGCACACATAGGCCGCTTGCTATCATACAATATGCAGATCGGTCGAGCGACTGATCCGAGTCTGTATCCGATGGAGTTGTCGCTGTCACCGAGTGATTGTGTTATAATTATAATGTATATTTCAGTTGTTAGTTTATCATTTTATTTGTCAGTTGTGAGTTTCGTATAGACAGACAATTGTTTTAGTGTGCGCAGATTTCTGCCCACAAAAAATAACAGACATTTCTATTTCGGGAAAGAACGCTATGGCTACTGACAATAACTATTTGATCGATCTTTTACCATTTTTAAAAATTAAATTAAAAATATTTTTTCTTAAAAATATAATATTGATAAGCTGTTGTTTTCTTACATTATAATAAGTAGGTTTTGTTTTCCTTTTTAATTTTTCAACCTTAATGTGCGTTAATTTTTAATTTACTTTTAACATGTTAAGTGGAGTTTATATGTACTAAACTTTAGACAAATGAAATGCTAATATCAGGTTGTCTTCCTAATAAATAATTTTAGAATAAAAAAATACAAAATTAACTCCGTGGATGCCGCAAGAGGTGACCGACGAGAAATTCTAGAAAAAATCTTATTAGCTTCCGATAAATGAGACCTGCGACGGACAGCAGCGTTAAAGTGCTACTTAAGCTATTGTGATTGACAATCCGGTATCCAAGTGTGATCCTCCCTATAACGGGAGAGAACTTTGTTTTAACGAGCTTATGTGAACGACATGAGGAACAGGTCCGTCAGTTGAAAGAGCAGCTGCAGAGCGGACAGGATGAACAGGCCCGTCGGTTGGAAGAGCAAATGCTCCTCATTAAGGACCTTCACGCTACCTTCGGGAAGGGGATAAACGAAGTGAAGGATAGGGTTGCTCAGCATGATAACCGCCTGTCGGAAGCTGAAACCCAAATCGCGAAAGCTGAAACCCGAATCGAGAAAGCTGAAACCCGAATCGACCAAGTGAACATCGGGTTGACAACGTGGTGCTGACCTAAAACTACTCAAACTGGGGATGCAATTACAGCTCCCGGAGTAGCTGCAACACCTTCGCTATGTGGGTTCAAGGTGCCACCGTTCGACGGGACTTCTTCCTGGTCGGCCTACAAAATCCAGTTTGAAGCTGTTATGAAGGCGAACGGCTGGAATAAAAATCAGGCCATGACTGCTCTCACACTAGGCCTGCGCGACCAGGCCTTAACAGTTCTGGAAGCTCTCGGTGAGGAAGTGACTTATGAGCAACTCCTTGAGGCATTGGAGGCGAGATATGGCGACGCTCACCTGGAACACGTCTTTCGTACGCAGCTTAAAGATCGCGTGCAGCGCATCAACGAAAACCTGCAGCAGTGGGCTCTAGAGGTGGAGAAGCTGGTGCGAAAAGCATACCGGTCTGTACCTGCGCTCATTGAAGGGAACCTGGTGCAGGCGTTCATCGACGGCATCCGCGACCTGGAAGTCAGAGCTGCTATGAGGCTCGGGCACCACGAGACGCTTAAGGACGCCTTGGCCCCTGCATTGGAGGTGGAAGTCGTGCGGCAGGATCATCGTTCCCATCGCGTCAGGGAGATCGCAGCAGCTACAGTTCGCGACCCCAACAAAGGATTCAGCCCTAGGTGTTATGGTTGTGGGGAAAAGGGCCATCTACGATCCAGCTGCCCTAAGCGAACTGTAGAAAGGGAAGTTGGTCGATCTCGAGAGGGTAGTGCAGCTAACATCACCGCCTGGCGGTGGCAGCAACATCATTCCCCTCACGCTAGGGAGGTTGCAGCAGTTCGCGACCACAATAAAGGATACAGCCCTAGGTGCTATGGCCGGGTGCAGCAGCCGGGATACGACTTTACTATCAGACATCGCAGTGGGAAATCTCATGGCAACGCAGATGCATTGTCAAGAAGACCTTGTCCTGAAGATCGGAAACATTGTACTGTGCAAGAGAGTAAGGAAGTGGTATCCGTGAGGATGCTCAGGACAGACCACCTCAGCAACGAGTGGAAGGACAGCCTACGACATGCACAGCAGGAAGATCCGGACATCAAGCCGAATCTGAAATGGATGAAGGCCCGTGCTACCAAGCCTAAGTGGAGCGACGTCTCAGCGATGAGTTCAACCACGAAAAGCTATTGGGCCCAATGGGACAGCTTGCTGATTCAGGATGGAGTCCTGTGCCGTAAATGGGACAATTGTCGAGGAGACAGCTGTCGTTTGCAAATGGTTGTCCCTAAAGCTAAAGTGCCGAATGTTCTACAGCTGTGCCATAATGGTCGTTCAAGAGTCCATCTGGGAGTTAAACGAACTCTGCTGAACTTTACTACCCAGTTTTACTGGGTCCATTATCGTGATCGATGATCGATGTCGAGGCTTGGTGTCGTACATGTACAAGTTGTGCGGCCGTGAGGGGACCTCAGACACGTAGTAGAGGAGCACCGAAATTGTACAATGTTGGTGTACCATGGGATAGGACAGCCCTTGACATTGCGGAGCCGTTACAGAAAGGCGCAAGAGGGACTCCTAAGATCGTCCATGTGGATCGCCTGGCGCGTTATTATGGGGCCGATAATGCTCGGGACGAGCATGTCTTAGGAGGGGGCAGTGTTGCGCGGCTAAGTTGACATCTGACGCGCCATCTAGTGTCGGGTAACGGAGCGAGGGGGAGAGCTTTCCAGAAAATGACATCACTAATCTTTCAACCGACAGCGCCTTCTGTTGTCGAAACGAAGAACTAAGCTTCTGGAAGCTGACTCTCGAACTTTCGGCGCTTTGTCGATTGGTGCGCGTATTTACTTGAATGTTCTGGATGATTCGGTACTAATGTGTATTTATAGGCGCTGCAAGGTGCGATCGTGGAAGTATTTAATTTGGCGAGACAAGCGAAGCTTCGGAGCGGAATAAAGTGAATCAGTGTGATTAATTATTGGTGTTTTAAGTTTTATTTTGTGTATAGAAAATTAAAGTGTTAATTTAGGTAATTCTATAGGCAATTTTTATTGTCACGAACCTCAAGCTCGTAACAATATTAAGTATTAGACCGAATAGGAGCCTACTTAATAAATATTATCTTTTAGGAACTAGTAAAATAGTGTGTCTGATATTTTTTATACTTAGAATAAGGGTGACACACGAGCAAACAATCAACCTGATAGTAAATGGATTCTGTGGCCCATAGATATCTATATTTCTTCTCGATTAAGAATCAAAACACAGATGCGTTGTCACCCCTGAGGACTAAGATGGAATGCCTCGTTTCCAGTTGAAACGGTTCTCCGGATCTCTATACTCATCATACGGAACACAGCTGTATGCTGCTATTTTAAGCTGGTGTTCTATGTGAGCGTGGTCCTTTACCGGTTGAGTGGACCCATTCTTGCTACAACCATAATTTACCTGCAGTGTGGCTCTACCACGTATGATTTTTTACTTACGTTTTATATATTTGATTAAAAAATATTTTGTAAATTTCAACAGGTGGGCGAGATTATCATCTCCACTTTAATGTTCCTTGGTATTGGAGCTGCTCAAGTTTTAATAAACAGTTCTGACCCAGACCACAGGGCTGCTGGTGCTACTCTCATGGCACTCTGCGCGGTAACCTTACTCTTCGTTGCCGTACTTTTGGCCTTCACGATCGTCTTATTGGTCGGACTCCATAAGGTAATATATTTTCACCAATTTTTTTGCGTTTAAAATTTATTTTTAAATATTTTTCAACTTATTACAAGCCAGTGCGAGATCGTAATTCCACCTGGTGGCGCAACAAAAGGCCGGACGGGACGGAAAGACAGACCCCTACAAACTATTCCACTCATTTGCTTGCAAAAAAATGAACCAAACCGTCAAAATATATATATATATATATATATATATATATATATATATACAGAATGGGTCCCACATATATGCAATAAATGAAACCATATACTTGTTATCGCCTTTGCTGACGATATACAAAAAATGAACCTAATCGGTCCAGTAATTAGGTTAATAAGTAGAGTTTTAATTTTAAGCAAATTTGAACTCTCTATAGAATTGGGTCACTAAGTCAATGATTCAATGAACTTGAATCCTTGAACATTAAAAGCGAAGTTGCCACGCAGTGCAAACTATTGGTATTGCGACATATCGACAGCGGTGTCTTTTGTCGGCGTCCATAAACAAGCGGCACGAGGCACGCGTCGTACTTCAAAGGCGACAGCGCAAGTGCGCGCGCGCCTTTGTCGTAGAGTAGGCACTAGGTAGACGATTAGCTTCTTTCGAAGGGAGTAATAATCGATAAACAAAAAATGTTTAACTTTAAACACTTAGGGTATGGTTTTTTTTAGAATAATCGTGTTGTTATGATAATTCTAAAAACACTACGACCTAAGTATTTAAAGCTAAACTTTAAAGCTTTTTTGTTTAAGCGAGTTCTTGTAGATTTAGAGATAATAAATTATTTTAACATGCTAAAAAACCCATAAAAACAACCAATTAAAAAGTCATACATACTTACCCGTTAAAAAAAAGATATGATTTACAATGATACATTGAGTTTCCCAGGAAGTTACAAATCGGTAGTTTCGTAAGTTCAATTGTATAAAAATAAACTTTTTTTTTAACAATCAATAACTTGTCGATTGTTATCAAATCAAAAATCAAAATTACTTGTATTCAAATGTAGTAGGTAAGTAAGTGTAAAAAGAAAAGTATCGATAAACGATAATTGCACCTTGTGGCCGCCCTATTTGTTACTTTTATTATTTTCGCCATTTTGGAATTTAGAAATTCGGCTTCCAGTTCACGCGCAATTCTCCCAGAATACAGGTGTGTTTCGCTGCCTACACGCATCGCAATTATTTATCGTAAGATAATTATCGTATTATCGTAAGATAAATACAATTAGTCGAAAAATTCTTTTACGGTGAAATAGACACTTATTAGTTAATTGACTTTGTGTGTGTAAATAGTGTTTTTAAACTTTATTTTTATTATTTTTTCACTGTGATATTGACACTACTTGACTTTTGTGTATACGTTTTGGCGGCGGAAAATGCCAAGACAACAGCATTTTTACAGTGCGGCAGAGTATACAGACATGGTTTTATTGTATGGCGAATGCCACCAAAATTCAGCGTTAACTCTGCGTACTTATAGTTAGAGATACGGCGCAACTCGCGTCTACTAGCGTCCGGACAATCCTAGGTGCTGTCCAAAGAATCAGGGAAAATCAGCGCATAGCGCCCAACACTCATGAAGGAGTTGCTCCGCGTCACTTTCCACCCTCGTTCGAACAACAAGTCTTAGACCATTTCGATCGGAATCCAACCTGCAGCCTTAGACAAGCTGGGCGTGTGTTTAGAGTGAGGCATAAAACAATACACCGAGTGCTGAAAAGGAACAAACTACGTCCTTATAAATATGTTAAGGTGCAGTCGCTGCTGCCCCGCGATAAGCCGATTAGAGAATCTTACTGCCACTGGGTACTGGAAAAAAATGTCTCAAGACCAACGTTTCCTAACAAATGTGTTTTGGACAGATGAAAGCACGTTTACTCGAAACGGCATATGGAACCGACAATCCATACGTTACTGGAGCCATACGAATCCCCATTTAGGGAATCAGCTCATCAATACCGATTTTCAATTAATGTTTGGGCAGGCATTCACGGAGATCAAATAATCGGCCCTATTTTTATTGACGGAAACCTGAATGCACAGAAATTTCTCAATATTCTTAACGGCCCAATAACAGAATATTTAGTAGGATTGTCTGTGGCAGCCTACCAAAGGGTATGGTTCCAGTTAGATGGAGCTCCTCCACACTTCGTACTCCTCGCGAGAGAGCGGCTTAACACCATGTTCGGCGAACAATGGATAGGGCGCTATGGCCCTCGCAGGTGGCCAGCTCGATCGCCCGACCTCACTCCTCTAGACTTCTTTTTATGGGGCTTTATTAAAAATGAAGTGTACTCAAAGATCTCCGAAACCGAAGATGAACTGCGCAATCGTATTGTGGCCGCCTTTAACAAATTAAAAGCCCTGGCTCTGGATCCTGAACGAAATTTGTTGAGCAGGCTTCAGGACAACATTATGCGGCGATGTAACTTGTGGCTTCAGGACAACATTCAAGAACGTGGCGGACATTTTGAAAATTTTAAAATTTAGGGTTTCATTAAATTTTGCTACTAATATGCAATAATATTTATTTCGTTCAGTTCCATTTTCGCGAAATAAAAAAGTGGCGGTAAAATATCTAAACAGTTTAGTGAGTAAGTTTTTATTTCGTCGCACATTGTCCAACGAACCATAGGCCGTGCCGACAATCGCCATGCCACCCGCGTGCAACGTTGTCACTCTTCCAAGGGGTCAAGGTACATTGTCTAGACAGAGTGTTCACTTTTACTGAATTTATTTTAATATTTATTTTGTTTGAAAATTTCACTTTTTTATTTTACGGGTTTTAATTTAATATTTAATTTTTCTACACTTCTACGGACTAGTATTACTTGTGGTTTCATTTATTGCATATATGTGGGACGCCATTCTGTATATATGTATATATATATATATATATATATATATATATTATATGTAATGTACGTAATGTAATTATATATATATAATTATATATATATATATATATATATATATATTATATGTAATGTACGTAATGTAATTAACGCACACCCTTAGACACCCCAATTAGTATCTTATGTTATAATCATAATACATACACTGAATTTTTAGTTAAACTTTTTTATGCACAGATTTTTTATCAAATTAGTTATTTGGGCGATTTTTTTTCGTTGTAAAAGTTTTAAGAGTAACAAAAATAATGCATTTTGTACAAATTTAAATTTAGACTGCGATTTTATGATTCTTTAGTATATGTTTTAAATAAAAATTAACTCATTGCATCGATAAAAACCTTAGTTTTTCAAATAATACGTGTTTTAAGCGCCACGGATGATGGTTTGATGGTGAAGATTCCTCTGCATCACGATATTGTTGGGTTAGATTGGTAAAATTGCAGACACAAATAATTTTATATTTATATTTATTTAAAGGAACACGTAATCAAATTATTATAAAACTAAAGATTTTACACGTTTAGATAATAAATCATAAACTTACACCTAAAATCACTTCCTATGAGTAACGCCTTGACCGAAAAAAAGTATCATTTGTTTGTTTTTTAGAACATTTTGAGTGTATATGTAAATTATAGTTCTATGTCATTAACAAAACATTATCATTTTATATAATTATCAAAATAAAAATGGCACTTTCGCCCTTAAAGTTGAAAATAATTAAAATTTTAAGTCTTCTATTTTGGTAGACAATAACTCATAGGAACGAGCATTTACTCAGAGGAAAGAGTTAAGCTGCGTTCCCATTTGCGAACAACAGACCGACCGACCGAGCGACCAACTGTGAGTTAATTAGGCAAAAATAAATTGTTACTTTATGTTAAAAACTATGTAACAACGTTATTTACTAAAAATATTTATATAAAAAAATGAAACCGCCTTCATATTCATACCAAATAACGTAAGTACTTTGAAGTTGGGCTGATTTAAACAAAAGAACAAAAAACAAAAATTGTACATTTTTCACGCCCGATTTTTATTTCACTCTTTTTTAAAGCATCACTTGTAAATAGGTAGGTTAGGTAGTTCACTACACATATAAACCGCATCAATCAATGAACATCCGTCTTAAATTTATATAAACTGGTAACGAAAACTGAAAACTACTGAACCGATTTCAAAATTTCAAAAAATGGTACCAACTTGGTAAAAACTTGATTTGTTATAACGTTTGAATCACTTCAATCGGTTCAGCCGTTTTTGAGTAGTCGGTGTACATAACTATTTAAAAAAAAACGCGACGAATACATAACCTCCTCCTTTTCAATTTTTGAATTCGGTAAAAAGGACTTAGATCAGGGTTCGTTCATTGTAATCCTATCAACTTATGTGAAATATAACAATATGTAGTATGTCATTTTAATAACCGTAACATAGATAAAATATTTTATGTATGTACCTACAGTTTACACTCATTTATTCAGTCTGACTTCAGTCAGGCATAATCAAAATGTAGCCTCTAAAAACTTTTACTTACCACTAAAGAAACAAATAAACAAAGAAAACTTAATTTAAATTATCCTTTCCAAAACAAGTATCGCAAATATAGTCATCAAAACCAATTATTTCTCTGTCAGCGCATGTGGTACAAGACAACATTTTACAGGCTATGCATTTTCTCATACTGTTAGTAAACGGAATCTGAGCTTTACATTCATGGCATTTCAAAGTACGAGTGCCATCACTCTTATGGGTTTTGATTGTGATTGCTGATACTTTCTATTATGTTTTTGTTCATTAGCTTCTATTTTTATTTTGGATTTACTGGCATTACATGGGTGCAAAGAAGAAAGTTTGCGTTTCTTTGAACCATATATTTTTGTTGTATTCTCTTTATTAGAAGAATTATTCATCATTACTTTGCGTCAAGTCTTCATTTTTTTTTGTTTAAAGATATAATAATCACATCATTGCTCTTGTTAAGTGGTATGATGTGTTCGTCTTCTGTTGTTATAATTACATCATCACATTTATTTGAATCAATAATCGTTTCATCACTAATATTTAACGACGAAAGTTCTATATC